TCCCCTATCCCCATCTCGTGGAGACATCGTGGACCACCTCTCTGGAGGAGGCCTCCCTGGTGGTGTGAGTATCGCTTGTCTGCCCGACGCCGCTGTTGCAGCCGCCCCGGTTTCAATTGGAGGGTGGGGGGCTCCCTGTGGTACGGTCCCCCCTCTCGCTCACCACATCCGCTATCCCCAGCTCGGGGAAGCATCGTGCGTCGTCGTCGTCGTTGTCGCCGTCTTCGTCGTCGTCTTCGTTGTCTTCGTCGCAGCCCCACAGCCCGTCTAGCCCTATAGCCCTAGAGCCCCATAGCCCTGGAGCCCTCAGAAGGCCCCCAGAGGGCGCCAAGAGGGCCCCAAGAAAGCACCAAGAGGGCTCTTTCAGTGTGGCACGGCCGTGCCACATGTGTGGGGCCCTCTTAGAGCCCTCTTGGGGCCCTGTTGGAGCCCTCTTGAAGCCCTCTTGAGGCCCTCTTGGATGTCCAAGATGCTCCCACAAGGGCACCAAGAGGGCCCCAAACATGCGGCACGGCCGCGCCAGCGCTCGCGGGGCGGCTCCCCGAAGAGGAACCGAGATGGGAAGAGACCGAGACGCATCAGAACGTCTGTATCCAACAAACCTCCCCCCACCACCACCACGCGCCATCATGCTTTCATCTTCCGGGCCAAATCTAAATCTTTCCGGAGGATGAGAGTATGATGGGAGCCGTGGGCCAGTCGGCGGCGGCGGCGTCGTCGTCGCCGTCGTCGTCGTCGTCGGCGCGGTCGTCGTCGTCGGCATCGTCGTCGTCGTCGTCGTCGGCCCTCGCCGTCGCCGTCGCGCATTCTGGGGCCGTTTTGGGACGTCTTGGGGCCCTTTTGGGCCGTCACGGGGCGTCTTGGAGGCCCTGGACCATCTTGGGACTCTCTTGGGGGCCTCCTGGGGCCCTCGTGGGGGCCTCTTGGGGCACTCTTGGAGCTCTCTTGGGGCCCTCTGGACCCCTCCGAGGCGGTCTGAGGGCGCTCATGGGCCGTCTCGGAGCGCTCTGGGGCCGTTTTGGGGGCCCTGTTGGGGGCCGCCGGGGTCGTTCGGGGGGAGCATTAGGGGCCTCTGGGCTCGCCCTGGCCCGTGGAGCACCTCAAAGGGCGGACCTGCTGAAAATGCACGGTTTCCGATAGGGATGGGACGATTTTTGCCTCTTTGGCGTCCTCCGGGGGTGCTCTCGGGGCGTCTTTGGGGCCTCTCGGACCGCCGTGGAGCCACCTTCGGAAGTCTTTGGGGTGTCGAGGCCCGTCTCGGGACCAACTTAGGCCGTCTTGGAGCGCTCTTGGGCCGTCTTGCAACCCTCTGGGGCTCCTCTTGGGCCGTCACGGGCGCTTCGACCCCGTGGTGGGGCCGAAAAGGGGCGGTTTTACCCACTTGAGCCCCCACCCTTCTCGCACACGGATGTGATCGCCATAGAGAAGAGACTAGTGCAAACCCGTGGATTAAATCCACGGCGTGCTGAGCCTTGGACTTGCACGCCATAGGCGACCAGCTCGTCGAAGTTGAACAGCTCGGGCGTCCCTGGGGCGGGCGGTAGGGGCGACCTTCGGAGGCAGATGTGTGGTCACGTTTGAGGGCCATGGTTGGGGGTTATGTGTAGGGGCCAGGTTTGGGGGCGCCTGGGGGCTACTCGTGGAGGCGACGTTCGGGGGCCACGCTTACTGGGGCGGTAGGGGCGACCTTCGGAGGCTTTATGTGGGGGCCGCCTTTGGGGGTCCCGTTTGGGGGCCACGTGTGGGGCCGACGTTTACGGGGCCACGTCTGGGGGCCACACCGGAAAGCAGTCGGGGGAGCTCCAGGGGCACTGACCTGGAAGCGTGAAAAAGAAAGGGTTTTTGCTAATCGCGCCGGGCCTGGGGGCGATTAGCAAAAACTCATGGTTTTTCAAGCATAGTCTGAGTGAGGGGAACACGTTTACGGGCCTCGGTTGGGGGCCGCGCAGGGAGGTCTTGGGGCCATCTTGGGGGTCTCAGGCCGTCTCGGAGGTCGCTTTCGGCCCTCTTGGGCGGCATCTGGGGCTCTGCTTGGAGCGTTTGGGGGCCATCTTGGGGGCCTCGGGCCGTCTCGGAGGTCGCTTTGGGCCCGCTCGGGCGGGATCTGGGGCCCAGTTGGGGCTGACTTGGGGGTCACTTGAAGCTCTCTTGGGCCATCTTGGAGCCCTCGTGGGCCGTCTACGGGCCTTCTTGGGCCGTCTGCGGGCGGACCCTGCTGGGGCCCTCTTGAAACCGTGCAGGGGCAATCTGGGAAGCCCCCGGGGCCATCCTGGGCCGTTGTAGGCCCGAAGTGGCGGGAACAGGAAAACCCTCGAAATCTTCGGAAAACGCAGAAATATTGCCTCTTGGCACCGTCCACGCGGTCCTCGGGGGCAGTCTCTGAAGCCTTCTTGTGCCGTCATGGGTCTCCGGTCGGGTCGGTTTCGGCCCTCTTGGGCGTGTGCGAGGCCGTCTTGGGGCGATCTTGGGGTCCTGGAGCTGACCCGTGGACCTCGTCCACGTGTTCCAGCGTGGACAGTGTGGGTGTGTTGCTGGATCGCTGCGTACTGCATACTGGATTGCTTGACGATTGCTTGTGCCGTACGCGTCGACGCAGTCGGCACCCTTGACCACGGCGCCCAGTTTAGCGCGCTCTCCACCTCTTCCTGGGCTTCCTCCCCTCCTTCATTCCTCATCCCTTCGATCTTCGAGCATCAGTCGTCGAGGCGACGACGAAGCTTCCGAGAAGACAAACATCCAAGGCCTTCGCAGTGTCGTCGAAGACGGCTCCTTTGGGTCTGAGAGATGCCTCTCGCCTCTCGTGAGCACCTCTCTCGTGGAAGCAATTCGGAAGGCTCGTAGGGCCTCCTGGGAGCCGTTTGGGGGCCTCTTGGAGTCTCATGGGAGCCTCTTGGGGGTCTGCCGGGGCCGGTCGGAGGCCCCTTGGGACCTCCCGGAGGCTTCTTGGGGTCTCCTGGGGCCTTCTGCAGGCGGATAGCTGGATATTGTAGTCTGTGGTCCCTCTCTTGGGCCTCTCTTGAAGCCTTCTTGACGGCATTTTGTGCTCTCCTGCGCGCCTCTTGGGCCGTCATGGGGCCCTCTTGGGCTGTCTTGGAGCTCTCTTGGGGGCCTCTTCGGCCGTCTTGGAGCGGTCTTAGGGGGCCCCTTGGGCGGTCTTCGAACGTCGAGAAGCCGACAAAGGAAGTCCGCAAAAAACATCAAACTAATAATGAAATTCAACGATGTTTGCCTCTCAGGCCCCTCTTGAGAGGCCTCTTGGGGCGTCTTGGAGACCTCTTGGGCCCTCCTTGGGCCAGTCTTGGGCGTCTCGGCCCGATCATTGGGCGTCTTGGGGCACTCTTGGGCCGTCTTGGGGGCGTCTTGGGGCCGTCTTGGGGGCGTCTTGGGGCACTCTGGGCCCTTCTTGGGGCTTCCTTGGGCGGCCTGGGGAGGCCAGGAGCCAGCCCGGGGCGGTTTTGAGCCACTGGGTCCTGCGTCATTCTGGCACGCGGCGCTCCCGGCGTTGGAGTATAGAGTCGGGGCCTTGACCTAAGGAACCCTAAATAAGGAACGAGGCCCCTTTTTCCATAAGTTAAACTTCGATTTCCGATCGAAAACCTAAGGAAAACCTAAGGCAAGCTGTGAAACAATCAAGGAGCACGGAGCCCCTCCCCAACGAAAAGGGTTCCTTCTTCAAGACCCCTACTGTATAGACCAGGGCTGACCCGTGGATTCCGTCCACGAAATCTGCACGAACTGGCATGGACTGTGGACACGCTGCCGAGAGGCTGAAATTATCACGCGGAGCTCGGCCCTCGCACTCAGCGCGTGCTACTGCGTGCTGATGCTTGCTGCCGATGCTGCCTGCTGTTGGTAATGCTTGCCGTTGCTGCTTGTCGTTGTTGCTTGTGGCTGCAGGGTGCTGCAGATGGCCACGTCTGCTTGGTGCGTGCTGCTGACCGCTACCTGCTGCTGCTGCTGCTGCTGCTGCTGCTGCTGCTGCTGCTGCTGGTGCTGCTGCTGCTGCTGCTGCTGCTGCTGCTGCTGCTGCTGCTGATGACTATTTCTGTGCTGCCGCTGCCGCTTGCCTGCTTCGTGTTTCGTGCTGCTGCCGTTCGGGCAATGGGGGAGCTCTCGGCCGCCCCTAGATGATCTTGCGTAACCTTGTGGCTGTGTTAGGGCCAAGGCTGGAAATTCAGAAGCATCAGTGGGCCTTCTGTTCTAACGATGTTGCATGGCGGCTGTGGCCGCCCGAGGAGGTCGGAGGATGCGCGCGGGCTGCGTAGGCTGGGGAGAAGATCGAAGGCACTGTGGAGCCTGCCCCCGATAGCTGGCGTGTCCAAAGCACTCTCAGGGAGGACTCCCCGACGAGTCGCCCATTCAGACTGGAGCCTTTGCAGAAGGGAGGGGAGAAACCATGAGGCGCATGGGCGCCTTACTCTCCTGGGTGGCTGGCACGTTCTCAAAGGTCTTGGAGAGACCTTCCCTCGGAAGCCTCGGAGGCGGTTTT